GACTGCATATCCGATCCTTCATCGGCGACTACTTCGGTAATTCGTATGGGGCAGAAGTGTTCGGTTTTCCGGATGATGGAGACCTAGAAACTGATATATCAGTGGAACAAGAGAAATATGACAAAGAGGGGGAGTCGGAAAGCGAAGATGATGAACAGGACACTGAGGACTTAGATCTCGAGGACCATTGGGAGCCTCCCTGCGAAGGCGCCACTCCCGAACCCACGAACTCGTCTGACGGGGACATCGAGGATGACTCGGAGTTGACAGCATAGTCGCCTGATGAGGTCGAAGGGCGAGCGGTTGCGGAGGAGGCGCTCCGCCGGAAGCCGTTTGTCGACCGGTTCTGCTTCGGAGCTGCAGGTGCACCCATTTCCACTGCAAATAACTCTCATGCCAAAACAACACATCAGCAATACTCGGAGCTGTTACATGCTTCACCAACCAATCCTTACGCGCCGTTTGACTCGAAGATTGACTGGGAGGTTGCACGATGGGCGAAGCTACGAGGTCCCGGCTCAAATGCTATGACAGAGCTGCTGAAGATCGAAGGGGTGAGTCAGGTCACGTTTCGCTGATCTGTGGAATACGTCTGACCTGACATTCCAGGTTTGTGACTCGCTTGGGTTGTCGTTCAAAGACACGGACGCGTTGAATAGAATGATTGACAATCTTCCTGGACGGCCTGCTTTCAAACGCGAGGAAGTCGTGATAGCCGACGAAGCATTTGAAGTATACCACCGAGATGTAATTGAATGCATTCGAGCCTTATATGGCGACCCCGAGTTTGCGAAGGACCTCATTCTGTTGCCAGAGAGGCACTATGCCGATGCCGATAAGACGATCCGTATGTACTCTGATATGCATACTGGAAAATGGTGGTGGAACACTCAGGTCAGTCCCGTTCCACCAGCCAGCGTCCGCCGAGCGGCAACTGAGGTCTTGTGTAGAAAGCTGTCGAGAGGGAGACGCCAGGGGCCACAATAGTCCCCGTGATCATCTCCTCGGACAAGACACAGGTGACATTGTTCGGTAACAAGACTGCATACCCAATATATATGACCATTGGGAACCTTCCGAAGGAGATTCGACGCAAGCCCTCTCAGGGCGGGCATGTTCTGCTCGGGTATCTTCCCACAACACGGCTGGAACATATCGTGAATAAGGCGTCTCGCCGTCGCACTCTCGCGAACCTCTTTCATTCATGCGTCAGCCGGATACTACGTCCGCTGAAGAAGGCTGGAGAGTTTGGAGTGCCGATGGCAAGCGGCGACGGTATATATCGCCGCCTGCACCCTATTTTTGCCACGTTTGTTGGTGATTATCCCGAGCAGTTGCTGGTCACGGGCATCAAAACAGGCGAGTGCCCAAAATGCCCGGTTCCTCATAATGAACTGGGTGAATATGGGGACCGAGACAAGTTGCGCGATATCGAACAAGTTCTGAATGCCCTTTCCAGTATTACGGATGGGAACCCTCTTGTCTTCGTGAAAGCCTGCGCTGCCGCCGGGATTAAACCTGTGCAGCATCCATTCTGGGAAGGCTTACCGTACGTGGATATCTTCCAGACCATCACACCGGACATACTGCATCAGCTCTATCAAGGTGTTATGAAGCACATCATCAGCTGGGTGACGAAGGCTTGTGGCGCGGCTGAGGTTGATGCGCGCTGCCGCCGCTTTCCACCAAATCATAGCATACGCCTCTTCACTAAAGGAATCAGCACGCTGTCCAGAGTTACGGGTCGGGAGCATTCACAAATGTGCCAAATTCTTTTGGGTCTTGTTGTCGATGTCTGTTTGCCCGACGGCCACTCGACTGCGACCCTAATCAAAGCTGTTAGGGCTATCCTGGACTTCTGCTACCTCGCCCAATACCCTGCTCACACTGATGAGACACTAAACCATCTTGACGAAGCATTACAACAGTTCCATCAGGCGAAGCATATATTTGTTCTTCTCGGCATCCGGAGTGATTTCAATATACCGAAACTACACTCTCTCCTCCATTACATCGCCTCGATTAAGTGCTTTGGCACGACGGACAACTACAATACGGAGTACACCGAACGCTTGCACATCGACTTCACCAAGGACGCCTATCGTGCGACAAACCACAAAGATGAATATCCGCAAATGACAAAATGGCTGACACGTCGTGAAAAGGTCCTTCGCCATGAGAAGTATATCAAATGGCGTGTTGCTGGCTGCCCGCCACCTGACGTTCCACAGACCGACGGCATGCCTGACCCGCGTGACCTGGGCTCACGTCCACACCTGCGAATGACCCGTCATCCAACCGTAAAGGCTGTCCCAGTATCTACCGTGAAACTCCAGTATGGTGCTCAATTTTTTGAAGCTGCCTTTGCTCGTTTCGTGGTTCAGTACCATGAACCAAGATGGACCGCTTTTCAGGTTGAACAGGCGGCTGCAAACATATACCTCCCATTCCAGCGTCTCCCGGTGTTCCATAAGATCAAGTTCTGGATCAAGGATCCATTTCACCGTGGACTTGGTTCAGAGACATCGGACGCCGTCCACGTACGTCCATCGCGTCGAGATTCACGCGAGCGCGAGGTGCCCGCCCGCTTCGACACAGTGCTCGTCAATCTGGGCGTAGGCACTGGTATGGACATCCGGGGTGCGTCACTTGTTGCAGTTGAGCCCTTGTACTCATACAGCCACAGATTATCGTGTAGCACAAGTGCGTGTCGTATTCGCACTACCCCTTACCACCGTCACGGCGTGGCGCGGTTATTTCGAAAGGCCTCTCCAAAGCACTTGGCTTATGTGGAGTGGTTCTCCCCGTTCGCTTTGGCTCCGGACAGAACGAGTGGTATGTACAAGATAACTAGGTCTATCCGTGATGGCGAGAGACTTGCAAGTATCATACCGGTCTCGCAGTTTACCGGAGCATACACCTGCTCCCGAAGTTTTGGGTCCTCAGTTCCTTCGGACTTGGTCAAGTCACACGTCCTTGATGATGCATCTGCATTTTTATGTAATCCATTCCCTAGACGCCACCACTTTTAC